AATTTCTTCTATTTCAATCTATTCCCCACTCACTGTCAAACAATCAGTCACCATTCCATTCTCATGTTGCTTTTCTTTTAAAGATTTTATTTTCTAAATTATTTCCCCCTTCTTTCAGATGTTTGCTCTTACTGACATTAAGCTTGTTGGAAGCAGATGGTTCTCAGGATGACAAAGCCAAAACTAGTCAAAGTTAAGGTTATATCTCTTGGCACTCAAACTGCCACAGTGTTTATTTCAAAGAAGTTAATAAACTTGTTTTTGATTACCCCAAGGTAATTCTGATGCACTGTCCAGTTTAGCTGTACTTTCAGTACATATCTATCACTTCTTTAGTTACTATGTGCAATTTGTTTTATCTAACAAAGTCCCAGTCAAATGTAAGATATATTTCCCTCTAGTGCTGTACCTATGCATAAGAATGAATGAATGGTTCATCAAGGATTAGCATTCAATGTTTTCTTGGACCCAAGTTTTCTTCTATAATCCTCCTACAACATTGACTTCTAGTATTTTTAACATTTCTTTCCCCTGTAAGTGTTCCACAAGTGGAATAGCAAAATAATAGCACAGCACAGAAACAATCCTTTGTTTTCTTGCTTTTCTTGAAATTAACAATGGAATAGCAGAGCAGCACAGCTAGTAATACAGTTCATGGGCTCATTTACATTCACATGAGTTGGCTTTGTTCAAAGATAATGCTTTGTTAAGACTTTCAGTTTTTCATTATCATGCCCAGTAATAAATAATGTTGATATACATAGAATATTTTGTTGTTGTTGTTGCTCTCGTTGGCAGAGATGACACAAGTGGCAGAAAAAGCAGATTTGTTGCAGTGCTAGATTCTGCCTTGGAATATCTAGTTATTGGCTAAAATACTCCCCCCCCCTTATCTTTCATTTCTGTGCAGGACTCAAATACCACTCCCCATTGAGGTAGTGTGGGAGTCTTGGACTGTGACAGGGAGTTCAAATCCCCATTCAGTTATGAAGACCACTGGATGACCTTGGTCTAATCGCTGTCTCTCAGAATAATCTAGAGAGAGCTCAGCTGAGTATTCCTAACATATCTCAGAGGGGCATTATGAAAATAAACATGGAGTATTATGAGGATAAACAGAACCACATACATTTCCCTCAGTAACTTGAAGGATAGGTGGGATATGAAGAAATAATGCTATATCTTGCTTGCCACATTTGGGAAATCTGCATAAGTTATTTTGTTATTGTGTTGTTGTTGTTGTTGTTGTTGTGTGGAAATTGGAATTTTCTCACACAATGATTAAAATCCCCTCCTCACCTTTCACCTGTCCTTAACACAACCATTTACTGGGGATGGGGGTAGAAAAACATGCAGTCTCCCCAAAGCATAGCACTAAGAGCATACTCTGGGACCTCTAAAGAATCCTCGGGAGGTCATGGAGGATGTCTTGTCTCTGTTACCTCCTCACTGTTTTCCACTGATCATGTGGGTGGGAGGTTATAGCTGGTAAAAGGTAAGCTGTGGGGAAGTGAGGAAGGAGATGTGATATATTTCTATCTAGTGGGACTTCATGCTGCATCTTTCTGATCCACTACCATGGCCTGATTCTTTAAGTTTGCTAGTATCTATTAAATTATCCTAATCTTTTCTTTTGCAGTTGCAACATAATGTATCAGAGCTGGGCCCTAGAAAAAAGCAAGTGCCCCTGCTGTTCTCCCTAAGAGAAGAGAATCCAGTGATTTTTTAAAAAAGGCAATAGGGAGATGAGAGATTAAGCAATAAAACTTAAAAGCAAGCCCCATGTTCACAATTCTTAACGAAGAATCAAGGGCCAAACAGAGCAGTTAAAATAATCTATGGCACAAATGTCTATAAAAGAGCCATTAAAGTCAAATAAAGAATTCAAGACAGTGACTCAAGAGCTATCCTAACAGAAACATTGAATAATTGGCTTCTCAGTGAGAAGCGATGTGAACTTTTGGAAATGTAATGATGGAAGTATAACCCAGCCAGCTGGTTAACACAAGTCATGCATTAGCTCAAGGATCTTTGCTCGTTATGGCTGTACAATCACAAAATTGTTTTGGCTATATGGGTAGCAAAAAAGATCAGATCAGCATGCAAAAATGAATTATGTTATCATGGTCTAGTAAAAGTCTGGATTATTACTCTCTTGCCTGCCAAGCTGGTGTCATTGTGTACTAGTATGCATTTGATATTAATAGTCCTTTCATAAGCAACACTGGTTTCTTCTGACAAATTGATATATTTCCCAAAATATGCCAGTGTTTCATAATTTTGCATTTTAAGGATATACTAGCTTTATAGACATAGTAACCTTATAGACACAGCCCTAATTTTGTATTTCCAGTGGGTCACTTCTAATAAATTTTAGATGTCAGGAGCCCACTGTAATAGATGGGAAATGCTCTAGTGCACCTTGCTGATGACCTCATTAGGATAGCCATTGCTTCTAAAAGCTTCCTCTCATTTTATGAGTTTCCATTCTGTAAACTTTCATCTCTGCATAGTTTCCATGGATTCTCAAGAACTGAACCACAGGTGATATATATGCACACACACACACACACACATTCTATTTTTCCTAGATAAAAATCATATAAAGAAGTGCATCAAGAATAATATATTGGTGCAGTGCTTATAAAACAATGTCATTGGCTTTTAAGTTGTTTGATAACCCCCACACTGGTGCCCCAGGATACAACCCAGCTAAAGCTTTGCATAAAAAGTTAGCAACCAGTAGCATCACTACCTTTGATGGCACCTGGTGAGGAGGGCTGCTGTTGGGAGGGTCACTATTTTGTTTACCCACATCCCCCTCCCTGGCCACTCGTCCCCTCCCCCAGCTGTTCCCTATAGGTTTCCCAGTTGTTCCCCTCCCCTTGCCTCCCCTCTCTAGCTGCTCCGGCACTCCCTTGCCCATCTACCTGCTCATCCAGGGTGTCTGGGCCTGCTGCTCCATTGCAGGGCTTTCTCCCCAAGGAGAAAGCTCAATGATGGAGCAGCCAGGAATGGTGTGTGCTCACCCCCCTTTCACTGAAGGGGGAAGAGGGCCCAACTTGGTGTCACTGCTCCTTTGGGGGATAGCCTGGTGTGGTCTGAACCCCCTGCACCCCCACAATGACGCCACTGTCAGTGACCATTCCAGGACTCCAGGGTCTGAGAAACAATGGCAGTTCCTTCTCCCCAGGTACTATTGGTTGGGAAAGGGTATATATTGGTACCATAAAGTAGCTGACATTGGAAGCCCAGTGGAAATACACTGGTGCATATTTATGCACTGATAGTTGTGTTGTTGAGTTATCAGCATCCTAGCCCTATGTCATCTGTGAATCTCTTATACTTCCTCAGGCAGATTATTTGTGAAAATTTTGAATAGGCCAGGTTGAGATAGAGTCATTGATAATACCATCTTGGGCATGGCTGTTCAAATAGTTGCAGCTTCATTCAGCCCACTTTTTTTTTTACCATCCTAACAAGGATAGACTGGGAGGTGTATTCAAGTTCTTTGCTGAAACCAGCATATACCATGGTTAATAGATTTAGCATTTAGCATTTAGTATTTACATTTCTATACCACTTCATACTGAATGAAGCACCCCCTAAGCTGTTTACAATGTGTAAGCCAATTGCTCCTAACAAGCTGGGTACTCATTTTACCAACCTCTGAAAGGATGGAAAGCTGAGTTGATCCTCAGGATCAAACTCATGATGTTGTGGCAGCAGTACTGGCATTTAACCACTGCACCACCAAGGCACCAGAATTGTGTTCAGCTGGCAGTGTCAGAAGTTTTTCAGTTCTTATATCACCTTTGTGTAGGCATACCATTTGCAAAAAAGATATAACAAAAACAATAATAGTGTTGCTGTTGCTGTTGCTGATTATTCATATTCCACTTCTTCCACAGTCAGGAAATGGGGCTAAATGCCTAATCAATTTTATTCCAAATTTATCTTGCCATTAGAAAGGAAAATAAATTTTCATTTACTTGATGTCACATCCCCCCTGCATACAGCATTCATACAGGCCCACACATCTGTCAAACTTGAAGTGCTTTCCTCCACAGATTAAGGTGCTATTGTATGCACTATAGACTACTGTAGTCAGTCTGCCTGGAAGTTCAGTTAGAAAGGTACAGAATGAGGCTAGAGGTCCTGCTTGGATGTCACAATGTAATCATTTCAAAAGAAAATGTAGATATGTTATTAGTAATGATCTGCCTCCAGCTGCTCAGACACTGGGGTATTTTATCATATTTAACATAGTTATATGGTTTGTAAATTGCATCTTATTCATTTTATGATTGTATCCCAGGCAGCCTGATCCTATGGAATGACTTTAGATGCAAGAGTATCAACAGCAAAAGAAGCAGTCTTATCTAATGATCAGTGCACAAAGTATAGAAATTATAGTTCTGTTTTAAAACAAATTGGATGCAAGAGGAAAACATATCTCCCACTCCCAGATCCTTTAAAGTTGGCAAAGCCGTGTACTCGTGGGACTGGATCTAGCTAATGATGTCCAAGCACACACAGCTTTAAGCCAGGGGATGGGAATCATGCACCTCTTAGATGTTGCTGGAATGCAGCTCCTAGCCTTCCTTACCATTGGCCATGTTAGGACCTCTAGAAGTTGCAGTCCAACAACATCTGGAAAGGTGCAATTTCCCCATGTATACTTTCTGCCACATCATTAACAATAATAAAAATACTAATTTATTTATATCCCGCCTTTAGCCTTGGCCATCAAGGTGGCTTACATATAAAATCAAATACATATAAACCCTTACAATAATACAAACAAGACAATTTACCCCCCATTAAAAATACATTAAATTCAATCTTGGAGTTAAAAATTTAACAATTAGAAATGCAACTTACTCAACTTGCTTTGTCCAATGTGAAACAAATACAGTTATGATTTAAAAAAGTCTTACAAGTTCTCATTGATATGGCTATCAGAACCATTCATTAGAGCTAGCTATTATGGAAATACATGTTGGGTGGCGTAGTGGTTAGAATGTTTGACTAAGACTCGGAGACCAGTGTTCAATCCCTACTCAGCCATGGAAACCCACTGGGTGACCTGGGACAAGTCACTCTCTCTCAACCTCAGGGGAAAGGCAATGGAAAACCTCATCTGAAGAAATCTTACCAAGAAAACCCCATGATAGGTTCATCTTAGGGTTGCCATATCAGAAATGACTTGAAGGCAAACACAGATACACAGACACACATTATGGAAACCAGGGATGCAACCAGTGTGATATACCACATGGTGGATTCACCATGTGAGATGTCACATTGCTTAAAATAAATGAATGATCCCTTTATCCCTGAATTCTCTGGTTTTGTTTCTGTGAGCAAGATAGCCCAATTTCTTTTCTTTTCTTTTCTTTTCCCCTTCCCTTCCCTTTTCTTTCTTTCTGTCTGTCTTTCTGTCTTTCTATGAATATAAGCCCAAGGTGAGAGAAATCTGGCTACAAATAGAATATATAGTTATTGCTATGACTGATGTATATTGACATGATTGTACATACACATTCTGAAAGAGCATAAGGTCAGGGATTGTTAGGAAATCCTCCAGATTCATCTCTTTTACTCTTTATACCTACATGGACAAACTGTATAGTGAATCAGCCTGAGGCAAAAACACTGTACATAGGAAAAAAGCAGCAGAATCCCACAGTAAGGAGAAGAAAGGACATAAAACCAACTGTAGCTGTATCCATTTTTCATCCAGGAAAGCAAAGGAAGAACTACAATTCTTGGGTTTTATATTCTTCTGCCAAAAGTATTGCAACAGTGCAAACTAGTTTGACATGAATCAGCTGTACTCCTGGTATTGCTCTCAAATTAAAAAGGACCCAGATAAGGAATAGGAATCATGTCACTCTTAAGCTGTTGGATTCTGTCTTCCAGCAGCTGGGATAGTATAGCTGATATCAAGGAATGCTGGAAGTTGCTGTCCAGCAATGTCAGGAAGGCCACGATTCCTGCTCCTGCTGTAGGCTGTAGCTTAGTGCAAGATCTATTTTGAGGCAAGGTTGGAAAAACAAGAAGAAGAAGAGGAAGAAGAAGAAGTTATTCACTTTAAACCATTGGAGGGGTATTGGGTTTGAACCAGTTTTTTTTGCATTATTGTGTCGGACTACACCAATATAGGACTATATAAAAAATTAAGTAGCAAAATGCAGCTCAGATATTATGGCCACTAACTTAAATAATAATTATTCTTGTGTGTGGGGGGGGGAGTGCTTTTTAAAAGCAAATTGTTTTGGTTGAACTTGTGTTAACCAGAGGATTTTATTTTGAATGACATTTTTCACACTATAATGAACAACTACCAATAAAATTAAAATGTTTAAATTCAAACAGTCATTGTTATTCCAGTAAGAGTATTTGAAAACAGTAATAATAGACAGACTTTAAAAATATGAACAATCAATGTGTTAAAAATGGCTTAAAAATTTAAACCAACCTGGTTTAATCCAGCCAACCCTATTTTGAGGATCCAGATTCTTTTTAGTTTATTGTTTTTTGTGATAGTTGTGATGGTTGAAATTCCATGCTCTGTTATCTGTAAGTGAACTGTGTTGGTCCTGCTCCTGAATAGAGAAGCATTTGTCTGGAGTTTAATGAGATTCTTTAGTGGTGCTCCCATTTCCTTTTTCATAAACACTATGTGCACCACCTGATGCACTATTTTTGAAGTTCTCTTGAGCTGTCAAAAGATGTACAGGGTTAGTCTGAAGGAAAAAAAGAAGCAACACTACAACAGTCAAAAGACCCATGAAGATGATCAACAGCTTTGTAATTGGAAACATTATTCTTAATGGAGCTTTTTTTCTTCCAAAAAGTATCTTTGCATATAATATTGACAGTTCACAACTCCTTGGGAGAACAGCTGGTGAAATACACTTCTAACATTGCAGTCTTGGCATACTGCTTCCATTGCTGCAGGGTTGTCAGGTTTGCCTTGTGAAGGAACAAAGGCGCAAGCATACATTTACAATACAGTCCCTAAACTGACAAAAATAGATGTGTTCTTGGAAGGAGAAAATTAATTTATTTTCAAGGTAGGGTAATTAATGTCTAGTGATGGCCTCCAGTGATACCATATTTATCAGTTCAAAACCCACTCTCTCCAGCAATGAGAGCAGAATGGCATGGACAATAATCTTTGTAGTTAACATCTCTGGCTGTATCTGTACTGCAGAAATGATGCAGATTGGCACCACTCTAACTACTATGGCTCAATGCTATGGAATCCTGGGATTTGTGGCACCAGAGTGCTCTGACAGAGAAGGCTAAATATCTCACAAAACTACAAATCCTAGAATTCTATACCATTGAGCCATGGCAGTTAAAGCAGTGTCAAACTGCTTTATTTCTGCAGTGCAGATGCAGTGTCTGACAAATGAATACCCATATTTTCATTCTATATATAAATAGCTATTTATTCACAATATCATTATTTTCACAAATGTCCTATAAACTTAAATGAGTTCAAGGAGCAAAAATAAGATAATTTAAATTCTATGATCTACAATGCTTCGCCCATGTTCTGAAATTAAAATTAGTATCTCATTGAAACTATATAGGTGACTGGAATGCTAAGAAAACCGATTTGTGCAGTTGTGGTCTCAGAGACTTTTGGTCTAAATCCAATTGCTAATCCCAAGAAGGATAGACCCACTAATTAATTGTTGAATAGTAAGTCAAAGCTGAAATGTAAACACCATTGATTCAGTCTGGTTAGGACTAGAAATGGGATTTAGGTGAAGGCCTCTAGGTCCATGACTCTAAATGTGTTCACTTGGGATTAAGAAATATGGGCCTAATATATTGGGTCATAAGAAATATGGGCCTAATAATTGGGTCAAGAGAACAAGGCCTAAAATATGGGCCTTGTTCTCTTGACCCAATTCCACCCCGTCTTCTAATCTCCATAGTTCCTTCTTTGTTGCCCTCCCTCCTCTATATCTTTAACCTCTCTCTCTCTCTACTGGATCCTTCCCCTCAATCTTTAAACACGCTCTAGTTTCTCCTATTCTGAAAAAAACCTTCTCTCGACTCTTCTTCCTTGTCTAGCTATCGCCCAATTTCTCTTCTTCCTTTTCTCTCTAAGGTTTTGGAACGAGTTGTCTACTCTCGCTGTCTTGAGTTTCTTGACACCAACTCCATTTTGGACCCTTTCCAGTCTGGATTCCGCCCACGGCACTCCACAGAGACGGCCCTCACCAAGATCTCAAATGATCTCTTGCGAGCCAAGGCGAATGGCCTTTACTCTATCCTAGTCCTCCTTGATCTGTCTGCGGCCTTCGACACCGTTGACCACTGTCTTTTAGTTGACTTACTTTCTGACCTTGGCTTCTCAGGCTCCGTTCTCGATTGGTTTAAATCTTACCTGTCAGATAGATCTTTTGCAGTGGTCACGGGTGGACAGACTTCATCTTCTGTTCCTCTATCTGTTGGAGTTCCTCAGGGTTCTGTCTTGGGTCCCCTTTTGTTCTCTCTATATACATTGTCCCTGGGTAAACTTATCAGCTCTTTTGGTTTTTCTTATCATCTGTACGCCGATGACACCCAGCTCTATCTTTCTACCCCTGACCTTTCGCCAGGGCTTGAGCAGCAAGTTTCATCTTGTCTGACTGCTGTCTCCCACTGGATGCTCCATTGGCTCTTGAAGCTCAACATGGCCGAAACAGAGCTTCTTGTTTTCCCTCCTAAGCCCGCTCTTGAATATTCCTTTTCTGTCTCCGTCAACAACATCTCTATTCAGC